TTGATATATCTACCCACAGAGACATTATCAAAAGGCATATTATCAACACTTTTATCAAGGGAAAATATCTTTGAGAAGGTTAGGTATTGAATCTCACTCAATTAAGTATGAAATGATGAAGAGTAAGATGTTTTGTGAATTGGTGTCAATTGTACATTTCCATCAGAAATCAAATGTTTCAGTTTAAATATCAGGGAACTGAGGAACTGAATGAATGTATATCTTTCTATGGTCCTTATCCAAGAATTAGTGAAATCTCAACTATACTTGGATAAGACATATATATATCTAATACTGAAAGATATCTTGGTTTCAATCAAAACATGAGTCATCATTAATACACAAATTGTTTTGTGATCCCCGACTGCCCCCAGTGGACAGGTGAGAGATATCTTATATACACACACACTTCTTGACCGGCCAATCAACAAGCCTGTTGGGAGGGTCTTTTAAAACAAAGGTTTGGATGGTATATAAAGCAATGCACCTCACATCTAAAAAAAAAAATCAAGCTGGAAGGACATGCTTAAAAAAAAAAAAAAAAAAAAAAAAAAAAAAAAAAAGGAAAAGCTAAAGAAAAACCAAAATCGACAAAAGGAAGGAGAATCTGAAGAAGCTGAAATCTACCCCATCTGAAAAAAAACTTAAAGATCTTCTAATACTACTTCTCAATCTTTTAAAACACTCTACTAAACTTCTAAACCTCTACACTTTTCCTAAACACTACAACCTACTGCACTCTCACTTGCTCCCTGCGGCCATTTTGCTGAAGTTCTAGCTGCCATCTTGTCTTGAGGACCATTTGAAGGACCAACTGCATCCCACGGGGGGAATCCTAAAAAAAAAAAAAAAAAAAAAAAAAAAAAAAAAAAAAAAAAAAAAAAATCGAGGTTCTGGGGAGTGGTGAGACTGCTAAGAGTTTATATTGTATCTTATATTTCCTATTTTTCATAGACTGATAGCCGTTGTATTGGGTGTTTAGAAATATTAAGATATATACATAATTACTAAAATTATTTGATATTGAAATTATAGAGATTGCATAATTAACCGATTTGTAATTTTGTTAGTGTAATTTACCAGAGAATATTTTCTTACATTTCTATGGCCACGGAATGGGAGAAATAATTCCTGAAGCACTATAAGGTGACAACTTATAACTAAATTTGTTTTTTTTTTCCCATCTCTTTACTATTATCTTTAATCATCTATTGTTTGGTATATAGAATTAGCATATTATATTTTTGATCGTATGTATAAGTATACATTTATCACCAGTCTTCTGCGTTTGTATTAATATATATATAAATTTTGTACATAAATAAATTAAAAAGGTAATTTTTGTGTATATGGTACGAAATCATACTGGCTAAAAGAACTCAAGGTATATTATTAAGTGATCAAATTATTAAGGTGCCCAAATTATTGGTTCATTAAACATTTGCTGTATTTTAATGGATGGAGGCACTGCAATATTTTGTTTAAGGAAAGGACACCGCCCTACATATTTAGAATAAATTATTATATAATAAGACAGTTTCTTTTGGTCCATCGAAAACCCAGCAGAAGATATGACAGAACCCAAAAATGTAACCTGTTCATAATGAAACTTACACTTTTCCAACTTGCAATACAGGTTGTTCTCTCTCAACCTCTGTAGCACACCGCAGAAGTCTGTGTGTTGATTCTCTAGGGATTTTGAATATATGAGAATATCATCGAAGTAAACCACCACACATTGCTACAGCATATCTTGTAGGCCATCAGTAATACATTTTTGAAAGACTGCAGGAGCATTTCAGAGACCAAAAGGGCACTGTGAGGTATTTGTAAGTGGCCGAATATGAAATGCTTTTATTCTTTATGTTCTTTATTAGTCGCCCTCAAGAGATTGTATGCCCCTTTCAAAATAGAGCTTAGTGAAGACTGTTGCGGTCCAATAATTCCTTTATCAATAGAATCGGATAAGCATTTATTAGTAATGCAACTGAGAGTCCTATAATCAATACAGGGTCTCAGTTCACCACTCTTTTTTCACAAAAAAAATCCATCACCAGCAGAGTATTTGTGGATGAATCCACAAATCCTGTGAGACAGAGTGGTAAAGCTGGCCGCGAGGAGGGATGGCACCAGGCTGAAGATCAATTGTGCAGTTATAAGGCTGATGTGGTGGCAAAATACCAGCCTAGCCTTTGTCAAAGACATCAGAGAATTACCGGTCCTCCTCTGCCAAAAAAAGAGACTGAAGACGTGCATAAGACCCTACTCTTCTCAACTTTAAGCCAATCAAATGTAGGATTGTGCTTCTGTAACCAAGGATAACCAATGACAACTGGATAAGGTGAGGAAATGACTTGGATTATCTCATGGTGAAGAGACCCTACAGCCATGAGCAGTTTCATGGATCACATGAGTAGGCTGTAGAGGTCTTCCATCAATAGCCTCAATGGGAGGTGAGGAGGCACAAGGATGCAGCAGTATTGAGTGCTTCAATACGAAGCCCCAGAATAGACTAGTACCTGGGTGTCAATTGAAAACTCAGACCAGGAAAGGCTATCCGGAACTAGAGGCTTATCTTTAAGGATAGCTGGGGATGTAACCTCAAAACCTCAGGTCTTGTCCTTTTTAATCTTTATAAAGTTCCATTACCTTGTTATGCAGGACTTTTGACAGTTCTTTTCTGATCCCACGGCTCAGTCAGTGCTTCCACGCAAGAGCTAACACATTGACTATTTATATGCGGACACTAATTGCAATTTAAAAAGCCACAGATATGGGACATTAACCTCTAATTGGCATTTTAACCCATGTGTGTCACCTTGTAAGTACCAAGGCCAAACATTCCAGGGTATGTAAGCTTTTGATAATGGCCATTTGGGCGATTTCTGTTATGATTTAAAAAAATGAGCCAAACTACTATTTAATAATAAATGGCTTCATATGATCATCCTTCAATAAAAGAGCATTTTTTGGCATGATCAGTCACATTTTCAAAATCAAATGGCAAAATTTCACAATTTCTGCCAGGGTATTTAAACTTTTGAGCACACATACATACATGTCTAGTGTGTTGCTTGGCCTTTGTGATGCTGTCTGTCCACTAATGTTCTCTAACAAACCTCTGAGGGCTTCACGGAACAGCTGTTCTGAGGTTAAAAATGTCCACACAGGTGGACTCTATTTACTAATTAGGTGACTTCTTAGGGTAATTGGTTCCACTAGATATTTGTTGGGGGCCGAATACAAATGCACACCACACTTTTCAAATATTTGTAAAACAATTTTGAAAACCATTTACCATTCTTCTTCCACTTCACAATTATAAGCCACTGTGTTGGTCTATCACATACAATCCCAATAAAATAGATTTAATTTTTGGTTGTAAAATTTCACAGGGGTATGAATACTTTTTCAAGGCACTGTAGTTATAAGTGGTTATGCTGTCAACAAGATCCGATGCTGCATCTGTCCCCCGCCAGCTCTAAGTGTGAGGACACGACTGCGGAGTTCTCACTGCCCCTCTGAGCAAAGAGCATTGCCTGTCAGTCACCAGTGTCTGATCGCGCCCCCCCCCTACCGCTCTCACTGGGTTGAGCATGTTCTATGCAAAAATCAACCACAATGGTAGTCACATATGTCATCACCGGCTTAAGATTCAGGCTCCTGTGCATGAAGATGTATGCACTGAATAAAAATCCAAGGCTTTTGTGCAGGAACAGTTAGCCCAGAAAGGAATTTGTTGATTTTGCATAGAACATACTGTAATAAAAAAAAAAAAAAAAAAAAAAAAAAAAAAAAAAAAGAAGAAGGAGGAGTACAGCCAAAGCTCTTTGTGCTCTACAAGTCCTAACATTCAAAATCTAATGTGATTGCATAGCATATCAGCTTGTCTGCTAACAGATGAGCAGGATGAACCAACTTGGTGGCAGGTTTACCAGCACTCTTGGTCTCGCCACTCTCCCTCAGAAATGCTGAGTGGTTACACACTTGGGTGAAGCCAAGAATATCCACATGAGCTAGTCCGATTTTCCTAATGGCAGTTTCTCCCAATGCTGGGGTCAGCAACTCAAACATGGAAAAATAGTCCTTAATGGGTATTGTTTGCTTCAACGTGCATAATGACAGGAGATGGCACCAACTGAATGGAAGAGTGATACACCAAGATAGAATGACTAGTATGAGAATGCTGCTGATCTCCTCAGCATGTAAACCTATTGGCCAACAGGTCGTTAGAAGCAAAATTTAATAAAGGACACTGAAGGCTGGGATCACAGAAATAGCACTTCCTGCATACCTGTTCCTCCACAGGAGCCTGAGCAGTCAATTTAGCTGGATTCATGCTGTTGCAGTGCATTAGGCGAAGCATTAATGTAAATTGAGTTAGGGTAACTCATTCATTTAAAATGTTACCTAATGCATAAAAAAAAGCACTTGCAGCACACTATATTGACAGGAATGGCAGTTTTGCATGGAACAATTAAAAAAAAAAAATAAAAAAAAAAAAAATAGCATTTGTACTGCCAAACTAAGAAAATGTATTAGGTTCACGGCAATATTTTAAAACTGCAACAACTTCACTGGCATTCGATTATATTGCCCAGTGTGTGAAAAAAGGGTTTACATACAACAGAGTAGTTTAATTATCAAACATTTATTGTGGTCATTGATGGTAGAAAAAAGTTCTACGTAGAATGCACATGACCAAAATATTTCAAATAAATAAAACATTTGAGCAACTTTTTAAACCTCTTTATATGCCCTACCCTCCCAAATACCAGGCCCACCCTTCCCTTGGGAAGTAACCAAACAAAAATAGTGATCTGGGTGAACAACTGCTAACGAAAAGCAGTAAACAGCCATAACAGCTTAGCATTTGCCTCCACTGAAGTGAAGAATCCACATGAAAAATTTAAGTATCTAAATGTTCAAATAGTTTCTCAAAAAAAAAAAAAAAAAAGTCAAAGTCCAATATTTACAGTAGCCAAAAGGTCATGTTTGGCCTATAACTCATCCTTCTCATGGTCATCCCCTTCAGGAGGAGGTCCACCTGCCCCATATAATTTACCAACAATTGGTTGAACAATATCCTCCAACTCCTTCTTTTTAGCCTTGAAATCTTCTATGTCTGCTTCTTGATGGCTCTCCAACCATTCAATCTTCTCTTCTACTGCCTTCTCAATGGTTTCCTTGTCTTCAGATGACAACTTTCCACCAAGTTTCTCTTTGTCCCCTATTTGATTTTTCAGTGAATAAGTGTAACTTTCAAGCTCATTCCGTGCATCAATCCGTTCTTTCAATTTCTTGTCATCTTCCGCAAACTTCTCTGCATCAGTCACCATTCTTTCAATTTCTTCTGGTGTTAGTCTATTCTGATCATTGGTAATGGTTATCTTATTTTTGTTGCCAGTACCTTTGTCCTCTGCTGTAACCCGTAAGATACCATTAACATCTATCTCAAATGTAACTTCGATTTGAGGAACACCACGGGGAGCAGGAGGGATACCAGTAAGGTCAAAAGTGCCCAGCAGATGGTTATCCTTGGTCAGTGGACGCTCACCTACAAAAAAAAATTGTTAAATCAAAGTTTGAACAAGTTTAAAGTGAAATGAGAACTCCTAGATTTGTAGCACTTGGGAAAATGTGCAGGTTTATAAAAGGGATAAGTCTAAAGTTGTGTGCAACGTCATGAACTCTATTAACCCTTTACATTTTTAGCAATTGCCACAAATACACCAGTCACTATACTTCTGGTGTTCCAACACTAGACTTCCAGGTCTCTGATCCTGTAGCTGCAGAGTCACTTGCACCATCACAGAAGGCCTTGAATTATGTGAATCCATTCACAAAATATAAATTCCTTAAAATGGATAGCAAAGGGGAGGGGTGGGCAGTGCAGCTGTTGTGTAGCACAGCAAATCTCTCCAGTCAAGAGTGCCGAGAGTACAGCGTTAGCTTTACAAAGCAGAAGCACAGGAAAAGTGTACATTCTATATAAAAGGATAGAGGGGTCAGCCAACAGATACAGGGGTCAGACAAAAAGAAATGGAAACACTACATTTGCAGGTGTGAACGCGACATGTTTTGCATTGAAAGTGGAAGTGATGTAAACGCTTACTTCCACTGTGTGATGAAACACCTAGCTTAACAGGTGGGAAGCCTCCCGTTTGTCATGCGCTGCTAGTAATATGGAGTCGTTTTAGAGCTTACGGAGCTTCAGAGAGCAAAATTGTTGGTCTGACTGAAGTTGCCAATTTTCGGTGTCACGAGGTACAGTACAGTAAAAGTTATGACGGCATATACAGTTTCCGGGAAAAAGTAGTCTGATCAGCACAAATGCGGTTGACATAGTTAACTGACCAAAAGGAAAAAAACAAAAAAAAAAAAAAAAAAAAAAAAAAAAAAAAACCACACAACAGACATTGCACAGGATTGTGAGCCGGTATGGAGTTCTATGCAGACGGAGATTGAGCTCTGCAGTCACTTTGCAACAAAAATTTGCCCTCTTTGAAGCTCAGTGAGCTCTGCTACAACTCGCAACTCTGCTACAACTAGCAACGCACGCAATGACTGACAAAAGTGAGGTTTCAACGTAAAACATGCTGTCGATTTTACATCTGCAAATCATCTAGGGTTTCCATTTTTCTGTCTAACCCTTGTAAGTCTACAAGGCGGCATACTGGACTGGACTTAATCCCCTTATAAACAAGCACATGGTGGATTTGATTTAAAGAAAGTTGATTTAAATCACTGGTGACTATTTAAATAAGTTGCAAAGAGCAAAGGTCATCTGTCTCGCAGCGGCTCCTCCTCTGACCCACTGACAGTCCCATTCACTTTAATGGGACAGCTGGTGATGTGGCAGTGACAAGGTGAGGGATGTGGCAAAAGCAGGTGAGCAGATGCCCGCTAACAGGCGCTGCCACGATGGATTTTAAATGACAGGTGCTCTTTAAATGTAAGGAATCCAACTCATTCTTGCTGGTAGTTAGAATCTTTAAGATTTGCAAATCAAATGAAGGTTTCCTTTATAGAATCATAAGCGGTCAAGTTAGTAAAACAGCGATATCAGAACAGATTTTAGGCTAAATCACACATAGCTGGAGGACTACTCAAATTCTTTTATTTCATGGTTTTTCTGCATGTTCTCAGCCTGCAGAGCTTGGATTAATTGAATGAGTTTACCAAAAATGTAAATATTGCAGAATATACAGCCTCATGCTACATAACTAAGCTCCATTTCATGCTGAACAAACTATTAATGTATCAAGTAGATTTTTACTCCAAAAGCATTTTATTATATATATATATATATATATATATATATATATATATATATATATATATATATATATATCTCTCAAGAGGGGACCAACTTGAGAGTCATGAAGACTTGAACACCAATTCACAGAACCTAAAAATACAAAAAGGTTTATTTTTTTACCTTCATAAACCTTGATAGTGACAGTAGGTTGGTTATCAGAGGCGGTGGAGAAAATCTGTGACTTTTTTGTAGGCACAACAGTGTTCCTAGGGATGAGCTTAGTCATGACACCACCAACAGTTTCAATACCGAGAGTCAGAGGGCACACATCAAGAAGAACCAAATCACCTGAAAGATGCAGATAAAAAAAAAAAAATAATATGTATTAAGAGAATGTAATATACATACACACCCTCATCCCCAATAGACTAATTTGTTCTAATGTTTGCATACCAGTGTCCTGGTCTCCAGAAAGTACACCAGCCTGAACAGCAGCACCATAAGCCACAGCCTCATCAGGATTAATGCCACGAGATGGTTCTTTGCCATTGAAGAATTCTTTAACTAGCTGCTGAATTTTAGGAATACGTGTAGAACCTCCCACCAACACAATTTCATCTATGTCAGATTTCTTCAAATCAGCATCTTCAAGCACTTTCTGTACTGGTTTCAAGGTAGAACGAAAGAGGTCCTAAATAGAGACAAAATATTGAGCACAAGATGCAAATGATTTAAGGGGGAAGAAAAAAAAAAAAAAAAAAAAAAAAAAAAAAAAAAAAAGTGTTGGGGGGAGGTGGGGGGTTGACAACAGTTATAGGATGTAAATCGCAGGCACCCATTAGGAGCTTGCTGCTATGCCAAGGACTCCTCCTGGTTATTGACCAGGACAGAGGAGGGTAATAAAAGCCTAGCCATGTCAGCGCTAATATCTTCAGTAAACCTCTCAATATAGTACTGCAATTTGTCTACAAATCCTTACCATGTTAAGCTCCTCAAACTTGGCACGGGTAAGAGTTTCAGAGAAGTCTTCTCCTTCAAAGAAGGATTCAATCTCAATCTTAACTTGATGTTGAGATGACAAGGCTCTCTTGGCTTTTTCTACTTCACGACGCAGCTTTTGGACCGCTCTGTTGTCTCTGCGCACATCCTTGCCAGTTTTCTTTTTGTAGAGTTTGATAAAGTGTTCCATGACACGCTGGTCAAAGTCTTCTCCTCCCAGATGGGTGTCCCCATTGGTAGCCACCACTTCAAAGACTCCGTTGTCTATTGTAAGCAAGGACACATCAAAGGTACCACCACCCAGATCAAAGACAAGAATGTTCTTCTCACCTTCCTTCTTGTCTAAGCCATAAGCAATAGCAGCTGCAGTTCTGTAATGCACAAAAAGCATATTAAAATAAAAAAAAGAATCTCTACAAAATTTAAGGTTCAGCTTTAAAAATCAAATAATGACTTACGGTTCATTGATAATTCTCATCACATTAAGCCCTGCAATAGTTCCGGCATCCTTTGTGGCTTGACGCTGGGCATCATTAAAGTAGGCAGGTACAGTGACAACAGCATGTGTAACCTAAGTATAAAAAAAAAAAAAAAAAAAAAAAAAAAAAAAAAAAAAAAAGTGTGTAGGTCAGCACCATATATCAAGATTAGTGGTGCACCAAAATTTAAATTCTGGTGCCAAAACCGAAAATTCACTTGGCCGAAAACCAAAAAGGCGCAGTTTTTAAAATGAATATATTTTTTGGAAAAAAAAACAGTTTGATTAAAAAAAACACAATATATGCCCCAATTGTTTTGTAAAATATGTAAGAGGATGTTACGGTGAGTAAATAGATACCCAACATGTCACGGTTTAAAATTGCACACGCTCGTGGAATGGCATGAAACTGCACTACTTAATCTCCATGGGTGATGCTTTAAAAATTTCTACAGGTTAGCAGTGTTTGTTACAGAGGTCTAGTGCAACAATTATTGCTCTTGCTCTGACATTCGTGGCGATACCTCACATGGTTTGAACAAAATTTACATAAGTGGGCATGGCCTATGTATGCGTTCACCACTACGTGCGAGCATGGGGGGGATGGGACACTTTAAAAAAAAAAAAATATAAATAAAATAATTTTTTTATTTTGCACTTTACAAATTTTTAAAAAGGAAATCACTTTTATTCTTATCACAAGAAATGCATGCATCCCTTATGATAGAAATAATTAGTGACAGGTCCTCTTTATGGAGGAGAGATATGGGGTAAAGCATTGGATAAAAAAAAAAAAAAAAAAACCCCCACACACTTCTGGCAGATTCTGGACACACGCACCTTTTTGCCTAGGTAAGCCTCGGCAGTCTCCTTCATCTTAGTGAGAACCATAGCAGAAATTTCTTCTGGAGCAAAGGTTTTTCTCTGGTCACCAACATCGACTTCAATGTAAGGTTTGGTTTTCTTTTCAACAACCTTAAAAAAAAAAAAAAAAAAAAAAAAAAAAAGGAAGGAGCACGTAAAACATCACAATTCAGCAATAAAGCCAGAGGTAGAGAGATAAGTATACCCATTGTACATACAGAAAAGTGGTAAATGTTTTATTTCACTCCAAAGATAGCTTGGGTTAATTCTACGGCTTTAGATGGGTACCAGAGACCAGATCTGCACCTCTGGAAGTGAACTTGCCCTGAGTACTACTACGAAGCATTATTCAAAAACAGCCTCTCCTCTGGTGGACTGTCATGTTAACCTGGATCTACAATAAAGTCTAAAGAAAGGAAATCTGGTACAGAGTGTGTGTGTTGTCATTTACTGCAGATATGGTTTAACATTTTCTACCATACATGACATCAGTAGTCACAAATCCTTCAGTAAAATCAACCCCAGTACCCATGTTTAAAAAAATAAGGGTTTTTGCTAGAACATAATTTGATGTGAAGTGAATATCCCTAAATAAAAAGGCATTTGTTCACTTCCAAATGTATTCATTCTTGTAACTATTAGTGTAGTTATATTTCCTGTGAGGTTTGCCTTTACTTGCAATGATGGACTCAAATGTTGTGACTGTATTTTGTGATGTCATGGCCAATTGTCCTTGTATTAAAATTCACTTCGCTTGCCTTGCCATTTCCTCACAACACGGGGAGGCTAATGTAATTAAATCTCTCCTCCATTTATTGCTCTGCCTGCTTGTATCTGTCAGATCTAATTACTATGTAGCTCTCACTTGAACAGCACTAGGCTGAGAGCACCAGGGATTGTGGGATATGTAGTTTAACAGGAAATGTCAGCTCTTAGACTACAGACAAATATACATTAACCCATGCCTCCTTTTTGAGCAAACTACAAAAACCTGAATGTTAAGGCAACAAATGACACCATGATACAAACTAAATGTTCAACGCACACCTTATGCAGGTGAATAACACAAGTTGCAGGTAGGAAGGTATATAATGCCTTTAAGCCAAGTGAAAATTCACTTGGCAAATTGAATATTCATTTTAAAAAGTGAACAATCTCTACTACAGCAGGTAAAATAAGTATTGAACACATCACCATTTTTCTCGGTAAATATACACTATATTGCCAAAAGTACTGGGACACCCCTCCAATCATTGGATTCAGGTGTTCCAATCATCTCCATGGCCACAGGTGTATACAATCAAGCACCTAGGCACGCAGACTGCTTTTACAAACATTTCTGAAAGAATGGTCGCTCTCAGGAGCTCAGAGAATTCAAATGTGGTACCATGACAGGTTGCCACCTGTGCATCCGAAATTTCCTTGCTACTAAAAAAATTCCAGTGTCAACTGTTAGTCAAAAAAGTGGAAGCAACTGGAAACAGCAACTCAGCCACAAATCGGTAGGCCACGTAAGATTACAGAGGGGGGTCAGCACATTCTGAAGCGCACAGAAGTCGAATAGAGCTTCATGGAATGGGTTTCCATGGCCAAGCAGCTGCATCCAAGCCAAGTGCAATGCAAAGCGTTGGAGATGCAGTGGTGTAAAGCAGTGTTTCTCAACCTTTTTTTCAGTCAAGGCACCCTTTCCAATTATGGACAGTCTTGAGGCACCCCATTCTAAAATGTAAAAAACTATTCTAATAGTTTTATATAATACAGCAAAATCAACACGTGTAGGACACCCAACATTAGAGGCTATTTATTCTTACAAAGCAAATACACTTTTTTACACTGCTTTGACTATTATACCAATGTTTCTCTTCTTCCTCAGGTTTTCCTCCATCACTGAGCTAATGTGAACCCTGCACTGATGGAGAGGGGCAGGGGAAGGTCAAACTAGGATGCTGTGCAGGCAACTTACATCCTCCTTATCAACTGATGTCCTTGGTTGTCAGGACACCAGAGGCTAGAAGGTCATAATGGTGCACAATGCAAACCTGTAGCTTTGTGTAACTAAACAAAGGCAGGCTTGTTCCACCCGCTGGTTTGTATACAAGTTTTGAGCAATTTCTAGACATTTTGCCAAGGTACCCCTGAAGAAACCTCAAGGCACCCTCGCTGAGAGACTGGTGTAAAGCATGCTGCCACTGGACTCTAGACCAGTTAAGAGGTGTTCTCTGGAGTGACAAATCACACTTCTGTGGGGGCGTGACTTGGACATAGCGGCGTGAACACGCTTACTAGAGAGCTCTGCAGGGATTGCTGCCAAACACTCCATCTAGCCCGCTCTGACACCCGCAACACATGCCTGGTGAGAGGAAACCTCAGCCAGAACACGGGGGACCCCACAATAAGGAGATCACCCACTACTTTCTGCGGCAAACACTTTGTGAGATCACGGACCCCGTCAAGATGGCGCTGATGAAATTCGGACAGGAAATAGGCTGCTACACAGCTCCCCTCAGTGGTGGCGGCTGTTTTGACTACTTGTCCGAGCTCTCCTAATTATGCACTTACATTACATGGCAGATCCCCCGGAAATTTAGAACTGGCTAGACTTGCTCTTCCAGGCCTCTATGTTCGGCTCACCGCCTCCACGCCCACAGAGGATTTGCTAAAGCCGTTCTATAGCTCAGAGACCTCCCAGATGCTCCCCGTCCGTCACGGAAGACGGATCTTACCACCAGTGGCCATGGTCCCTCCGGAGACTTTCATGTGAACTTTATCAGGGACTTAGTCTTTTGATAGGGACAGATACCCAGATGTTTGATTTGGAGTACGCCTTCTTTATTTCATGGCAAGGCGGTGACCTGTTGGGACGGCGGGCTGTTCAGGGTCTGGTCTCAGTTTCATCCACACCCCTTTCAGCCGCGAACGGTCCCTAGATTATTGGAAGAGCCCGAGATATATATCAGTCTTTCTCCGTTCTTCCATTGTTTTTTGTTCAGTATTTAATGCAGACGAGGTATTGTAGTACTCCCATGGCATCCTGCTGGGGAGCCTTTTTTTGGACTGGGCCCAGTCAATTTTCTGGATCCTGTTTATTTTACTCTCCTCCCCTGGCGTATCAGTCGGGGCGTGGAGTCCCAGCCGGACGCTTCGCCACTTCCCAGCAGTTCAGCGTCCTCTGTACGGGGGTGCGATGACCGTTGGTTCCATGTCGCCATACTGTTTCTTGTTGCATTTCTGTTGCTCATCCCTATGTCATTGTTGCACTTGTCAGACCTCTGAAGTACTTGATCACCAATTGTCTGGCCAGACGATCCCCAGCATCTCTTTCTTCTGCACCCTAGTCCTACTACCCCCTAATAGGGTTTACCCTAGCGGATGTACTATTGTGCACTGTTAGGACTTCTCGTGATACTCACACAGTCTACTTGTCTATTCTCATACCTCCCAGTTCTTTGTCTCCCTCTAGGTTTTACTCACTTATTCTTTGCTGTTTCCCTTTACCTTCTTGGACCTTCCTGTTATTTCCTACCCTCTCTCCCCCTCGCTAGGTTCTACTTCCTCTCCACCCCCCCTTTCTCTTCTTACCTAGATAACTGGTTCTTTGCTCCCCTCTCTTTCCTATTCCCTTCTCTCTTAATTTTGCAGAACTTCCTATCCTTCCCTTCTACCTTGTCTTTTCTATCCATTTTCTGCTTCTTCTCTGATGCCCACTTTGGCTGCCATGGATACACTACAGATTGCGCCCTTGAACGTTAGGGACCTGGGTGTCCCCGAGAAGCGATCGAGGCTGCTAGGATTTAACCATTTGCTGCCAGTCCTATAGCAGTTTGGTGGCCGCAAAAAACGCATTACCTTTCCGGGGGGGGGGGGGGGGGGGGAAGCCATTTGGCGTCCTCCCACACATGCGCAGTTCGCACGGTTGCAGAGCATTGTACTACTTTGGTCATAGTAAAATATGGAAAAAAAAAAAAAAAATAGTAAAAAAAAAAAAATTATATATTTTTTTTTTCCCCATACTGTCACCAGTCAGTGTCCCTGTTCACCGCCATGCCAGGTATATGATGATGCTGTACTGAACTGGTGACAGTAGGTAAAAAAAAAAAAACAAAACAAAAAACACACAACTTCAAAAAACTCGCCATGCCTCTTATGTAGTACGTCGGACTGTCTACTTTACAAAAAGGGTCATTTGGGGGATATCTGTACTGTTCTGACATTCTTGGATCACAAGAAAAGATTGGCTGTCAGTACTTCAGGATTGATCAATTTTCAGATCTATACCATAGTTTGATAACTAACTTTCCTACAAACTAAATAATACATCCTAATTTGGGTTATTTTCACCAAAGACATGTAGCAGAATACATCTTGGCCTAAATTTATGAATAATTATTTGTAAACTTTTACAACAGAAACAAAGAAAAACGTGTTTTTTCTTCAAGATTTTTGGTCTTTTTTTGTTAATTTAGCAAAAAATAAAACCCCCCCCCCCGGCGGTGATTAAATAACACCAAAAGAAAGCTCTAGTTGTGTGAAGAAAATATAAAATTTTAGTTTGGGTACAATGTTGTATGACCGCGCAATTGTCAAACTGTGAGAGTGCTGAAACCTGAAAAATGGCCTGGGCAGAAAGGTGTAAAATTGCCTGGTATTGAATTGGGGGGGGGGGGGGGGGGGGGGGGGAGAAAGGGAGTAGGTCGCAGGTGGCGTTTATACAAGAGACTCCTTTCCAGGTCCCCATATCCCTAGGCTCTATAAACGTGACTTTCCGACGGTATACCACAGTCGGTCACCCATCTCCAAATCAAAGATAGCCAAATCTGTTCCCTGGTCTCTCTCCACAGTGCGGCAGGACCCGCTGGGGCGCTACCTGCTGGTTAAGGGTAGGATTGGGCAATTTCCAGTGGTACAGGCCAATGTTTACTTCCGAAACATGAACCACTTACCTTTCCTCAGAGGGTTGCTTCCGATTTTGCTAACTCCATGGAAGGCTCCTTAATCTTTGATGAAGATATAAAATTTTGCATTGGAACCTCATCTAGATGTTTCCAAGGGTTCTTACCATCTCTTTCGCCTGTCTCAAATGAAAGGGATTACCCTTATTTTTCTACAGTCCATCCAATGTACTCACATCTAGATTACCTTTTTATTCAACAAAAAGATCTCCCCAGAGTTCGGTTGCCGTGTATCGGTAACATTACCTTTTCAGATCATGGCCCTGTATTCCTTGAAATGGTGCTGGGACAGGACTTTTGAGGCCCCCCTTCTTGGTGTCTGAATGAAGCCCTCCTCAAGTTCTCCGGGGTTAAGGCAACTGTTGAACACTCAATCAAGAAATCTCTCTCTCTGAATGCTACCTCGGTCAGCAACCTCTACATGCTTTGCAAAGCTCACAAACTAGTTTTTCAAGGCACTCTAATTGCAATTTCTACTAAACTCAAAAAAGAACGCTCCTCTCAAGTAGACAATCTCCTGCAACGTCACCAAGTGTTGGAGGGCACTTCACAAGGCCAGTATTGCTAGGGTAAAATACCAGGAAATCCTGAAGATCAGGGAGGAAGTGAATGCTCTCCTTTTTCACAAGGTCAAAACAGAAACTGGCATGGTCGATGAGCACCACGTACGAGTATTCCAATAAACTGGGAACTCTCCTAGCCCACACCCTTCGTGGTGCTCACATTCGGACCCATAGATCACATCTTAAGTCTGCCACGGTACAGCAGATCTCCTCTTCAGATTCTATGGCTTTGGAATTTTCTATGTTCTTTTAGAACCTATATAAAACATATCTACGAAGGTGACCCGGGATGTACCACACGACACGCAACAGGTGATACAGTCATACTTGTCCTCTTTCCCACTCCCACCTGTAAGGAGATGGATTCCTCTTAGCAGAGGAATTGGGATCAGAGCGCGCTCTCTAAACCTAAAAAAGCTCCCGGCCCTGACTGTTTTAAGGCCTTGTATTATAAAGACCTTTTTTGCCCTCCTCTCATATGCTGGCGGCATAGAACTCCCTAACGCAGGGACAACATATACCACCTGTTGCTTTACGAGCTTACATCTCCGATGCCCGCGTTTGGCCTTCTGTCTCTCCCTAAGACAAGTTGGGAGGAGGGGGTTGATCTACGGTTATAAATCGCAGTAACGCGTGAAGCATTTCGTACTACTCCTATTTCTCCAGTGCCTTTCCCAATTATTCCAGTAAGAGGAAATCCTAACTTCCCCCGGGAAGAGAAGACCCCCATTTTGCCTGCCTCCCTACCTCAGGCTACTCACACTGGACTTTCTTGGCCCTTCTGGGAACCTGGTGGATACAGATTTGACACGGTTGGTGGACTTTCCGCTGAGTTTTTGGAAGGGACTACAGCTCAGTTCCTATCTACGGTTACGCTTACGTAAGCCGGGAATATCTTGAAATTTGACTCCTTTTGAAACCCTTTGTTACAAGAGTGAACCGCTTCGTTCCGACCTGGGATTGTCCTTTACTACGGCTCAAAAAGGAAAAGCACAGGAGACCAAATTGTAAGCCAGTGGTATTCAAATATTCAGGCAGTGTCCAAAGCTTCAACCCTTCTGGCAAAAGGTGACTGATACTATCAAACATCTTACCTCTGTAGACCTGCGGGACGATCCGGCAGGCTGCCTGCTAAACATGTCGGAGGCACCCATCAAAGTATAAAAGACATCCCTCACTATACAGCTGCTAAATGTGGCCAAGACTTGTAAGGGAGTGAAGGTGACTGGTTTGGCAATTTCTACTGTACCCTCCTTATTCTCTCTCCCTAGTCTTCTGCCTTGTTCTTTAGTTAATTTTCTTTATTTCACACATATCTTTTTCCACCTCTTCTGGTTATTTCTGATGTTGGTCAGGCGGTCCCTTCTTTAGGAATTTTCTCTCTCCATTATTTCTCCTCCCCCTCAGTTCCCATATCTTTTGTTACCGGATGGGCCATCGTCTTGGTGAATTGCTTTATCATCTTAGTCTCTCTCTACATATACGCACTACATGAGATGTTTGACAATTAGTACAATCGACATACTTCCCTCAATGCTGAGACGTAACCTACATGATCTCTAGACGATAAGTTGATATGGTCGCTGTATATAGTTATTCACCTCTGAAGTTTTATTGTTCTGCGGAAACTCACTGTTTCTCTGTAACATGTTTATGTTCAATTATGGAGGGGGGGGGGGGGGGGGGGGGAATTAAATAGAGTGAAGACTGACTGCAAGCCAGTCCGACATCAGTGCCTGACCTCACAAAAGGCGCTTCTGGAAGAATGGTCAAACAGACATTCCTAAACCTTGTGGACAGCCTTCCCCAAAGAGTTGAAGCGGTTACAGCTGCAAAGGGTGGGCCAGCTCAATATTTAACCCTACGGACTAAAGATGCCATTAAAGTTTGTGCGTGTAAAGGCAGGCATCGCAATACTTGTGGCAATATAGTGCATTTCTAAAAAGGTGCTGTCGGCATGAAATTTTCACCACGTCGGTAACAACCCATACATCATACAAGAAACCAAAACAAATATGTTCAGAAATTAAGTTATGTGTAAAAAAAATGGAATGACAGGGAAAATGTATTGAAAACGAACTGAAATTTAATACTTCGTACAAAATCCTTTGTTGGTAATGACAGATTCAAGACACCTGCTGTATGCAGAAGCTTGTTGCATTTCTTGCCCATTCTTCCACAGTCTTCAAATCTTGAAGGTTCTGTGGGCCTCTTCTATGAACGCTGATCTTTAGTTCTTTCCATAGATTTTCTATTGGATTCCAGTCAGGTGATTGGCTGGGCCATTCTAGCAGCTTTAAAATTTCTCTTTGAAACCAATTGAGCTTTGTGTTTAGGATCATTGTCTTGTTGAAATGTCCACCTTAATTTCATCTTCATCATCCTGGTACATGGCAGCAGGTTTGTATCTTGAATGTCATGGTACATTTATCCATTCATCCTTCCTTCAAAAGATATGGAAGTTTGCCAGTACCATACAGGCCATGGCAGTTGAGTGCATTACTTATGTTTTTTTTTGGTGTATTTTAAAACTGCACCTGCTAATTCCAGGTCTATATGAACATCTCCACAAGTAGTTGTTGGCTTTTTGGACAACTCTTCTGATAATTCTTTTCACTCTGTCAGAAATCTTACGAGGAGCACCTGGTCATGGCCAGTTGATGGTAACATGATGTTCTTTCCACTTCTGGATTATGGCCACCACCATGCTCACTGGAAGATTTAGAAGTTTAGAAATCCTTCTGTAACCAATGCCATCAGTATGTTTTACAACAATAAGGTTGCAAAGCTCTTGAGAGAGCCCTTTGCTTTTACTCATGAGATGTTTTTTGTGTGACACCTTGATATGGAGACACCTTTTTATACGCAATCAGTTGAGAGTGAACCAGCTGACAATTTGCACAGACAAGGAGTAAATTGGTTTCTAATTCGATTTCAGCTGGTGCTTGGCTTTCTGCACCTTTTGGCACATCCCTTTCTTCATGTGTGCAATACTTTTTCCCGTGTCATTCCATTTTATTACACATAACTTAAAGCGGAGTTCTAGTGAAACAAAAAAAAGAAAAAAGAAAAAAAAAAAAAAAAGTCAGCAGCAACAAAAATTATAGCTGCTGACTTAAATAGCCACTCACTTCACCCTCAATCCCACAATGTCTTCCCCGCAGCTTGTTTCATTGGCCGTCCTGTGTTCCCAGCACCTTCAGTGTGGGCACCACAGAGCATGCGCGAGTAGTAGGGGGGGCAGAATGACAACTTCTGCCTCTGATCGGAAGTGGGAGTGGGTACCTGTCAATTTCAGGTACATACTCCCCAAAAAGGCGCCAATCCTGAACAGGGAGCAGGGGACCAGCCCTTAAAGCGGACCCCCCCCCCCCATTTTGAGTGGAGCTTCACCTTAATTTCTGAACTTTTGCATGTATAGATTGCATGGGTTGTTACCGACATGGTGAAAATTCTCATTCAGAAATAAAATTTACTGAAAAAAATTGTGATGTGTTCAGTACATATTTTACCCGCTGTATTTAGTAAATTATCCACACTGAATATTTGATACGTACCTTAAAAGGCAGATACTTGACATCCTGTTGAACAGATGGGTCATTCCAAGTGCGACCAATCAGACGCTTGGCATCAAACACTGTATTTTCAGGATTGGAAGTCAGCTGATTCTTAGCAGCATCTCCAATCAAACGTTCCCCTTCTGGAGTAAAAGCTACATAGGAAGGAGTGATTCGGTTACCCTGATCATTGGCAATAATCTCGACACGTCCATTCTTGAATACACCAACACTGCAAAAATAAAGAAATAAATTTAGGCCACTACAAAGAAGAAAAAAGATGTCTTATGAGGTTCTGTTAATTCTGTACAGTCTCATGTGTTTTTAGTCAGATCTAGCATCAGATATACTTTTTCATGTTAAAGAAGAAAATTGGATCTGCAAAGACTCCCAACGTAAATTCTTGAAAATATGGGAACCGTGGTTGCAATATACCTTTCCCACGCTCCCCCCCCGGCTAGCCTGGGGATGTGATGTTGTTCGGCATTGGCGTTCTTGGATCCCTGCTCTTGGTTTGGCTGTCCTTTTCTTTCGTACTTCTCCTTCCTTTCCCCCCCTTTTTTCCTCTGTTTGCTTTGGTGTGGCAGTGGATAGCCGCCTTTAGTCTGAGTTATCAGTGTTATATTTTATGTTTTGTTATTTAAGTGCCATTGATGGCCCCTGCGTGGGCGTATCTTTTGCCCTGTTGGTGTTAGAGCACTGATTTCTCTAATTTCTAATTCCCCTATGTGCAATTGATAGCCCCTGCGTGGGCGTGATTTGTTGCTCCAGTGTTAAAATTGTTATAAAATTAATAAAAACCATTGAAATACAAAGAAGAACATTGGGCAAAAATTTCATTTTCCCATGCAGTGGGGCTGTGCCTGCACTGCATGGGTTAAATGCTCATTTTGTCTAGGTGTTCCTAAAGCTGAGATATACTTATCTAATCCACGGATCCTCTGAGCACAAGGCCAGTCCTCACTGCTCCTGCCCATCCGCATGCTAGCTGTCTTGTGAATGGACCGTTTACGATATCATCACTCCCATAGACCAGCTCCAGACATGGAGGGAGATAGAACAGTCCAGCACTGGACGTGGGGGAGTGCAGTTTTCCGGAGGATCAACGAACAGGGCAAGTATAGGTTTTATACAAAAAGAAAAAGGTGCCATAAATTAGGGGTGTATCCACCCAATCAAAAAGCGTTTCCCCGACTCACCATAATTGAGGTGTGGATTCTAAACCAAAAAGCTTATAAGAAAAAAGTTAGCAGCTGACAAGAGCAGATCTGCAAAAAAAAAAAAAAAAAAAAACACACAAAAACGACAGTATATTATGAATCCTATGCGGAGTAAATATTCACTATAAACAGTGGATGCAAATTTTTTATTATAAAAAAAATTATATTAATAAAAATATTTGCATCCACTATTTACAGTGAATATTTACTCTGCATAGAATTCATAATATACCATCTTTTTTGGCAGGTGTGCTCTTGACAGCTGCTAACTTTCTTAGAAGTATAGGTTTTCCCTGTGCTCCTGGACAAAACCAGTAGTTAACCCATGCAGTGGGGCAAAAAAAAAAAAAAAAAAAAAAAAAAAAAGTGAGTGGAGTTCTGCTTGCCAGGAAATAGTCAAGTAGAACACTTACAGCTATTTATTACTACTGACAAAGTTTAAACTACTCCCCATGACCATTCATTTATCTGCCCTCTATTTTACTGGGCATTATCTGCATCCTGGCAAAATCATGTAAAGCATGTTCAATAATGATTGGCACAGATCAGCCCCTGCCATAGGCTCTTGCCAGGGTGGATAAAAATCTAAAAATGTTGTATTTTTATCAAATGTATTTTAAATAAAATGCTTTTGGAGTAAAAAAAACCAAACAAAAAAACACCAATCTAAAAGATAGATAGTTTTCTATTTAATATACAATAATTTAAGTTAGCAGAAAATGGAGCTTAATTATGTAGCATGAGGCTGTATATTCTGCAATATTTACATTTTTGAAAAACTCATTCAATGAATCCAAGCTGCATTCACACAATTTCACAGTAACCATGAGAAAAAGCACGAAATAAAAGAATTTGAGTAGTTCTCCAGCTATGTGTGATTAACCTAAAATCTGTTCTGATATCGCAGTTTTACTAACCTGACAGCTTATTATTCTAAAAAGGAAACCTTCATTTAATTTGCAATATTAAAGATTCTAACTACCAGCAAGGAGGAGTCAGATTCCTTACATTTAAAGAGCACCTGTCATTTTAGATCCATCATGGCAGCACCTGTTAGCGGGCATCCACTTCATCTGCTGCCGCCATGTCCCTCACCTTGTTGTGCCATTGCTGCATCACCAGCTGTCCCATTAAAGTGAATGGGACTGTGAGTCAACAGCGGGTCAGAGGAGGAGCTGCAGGACAGAGATCACAGGTGCTCTTTAAAAATTATGGATTTAAACTGAGCCTTTTCACTAGTGATTTAAATCAAATCCACCCTGGCTCTTGCATTGTAACTTGCTATAAAAAGTTACAATGTTACATTTTGATCACAGAGGAAACGATTCTGCTCGCAGAACACGGGCCTCATCTCAACAAGGTGTTCTCACCTAGTGCTTTAGAAAGCTTGGACAGATTAAGGGAGGGTTATAACTCTCATCAGGTGTGGGTTTTTTTTTTTTTTTGCCACCTATGTCTTACTGTGGAGATTTCCTTTACTTCCTGTGTCATAGCCAAAACAGGAAGTGAGAGGAAATCCCGGCGTGTCACCAGAACTAGTGTCCGCATTGGAAGATTTCCCCTCCCCTGCTATTAGTGTTCTGATGTCAACCCAAAAGTTAGGATTGTCTTTTACTTTCAAAGAGAACAGTAAACAGGACAAAAAGAGTGTATCTCTCTAACAGGGCACAGACAGCAATTAAAAATGACTAATACCTCTCCACTCTATCCAAAAGAAAACGTTTTGCCTTTAGTCAGAGAATTGTACAGCTTTTTTTTTCTTTATAAAATGCATTGTTTGGTTGCTGTATATTGAGCAAAGGTCTACTTATAAGAGTGGACCTTTCAGTAACTTTACAATTTGGAACGCTATCACTGAGCATGTCAAATGTCATTAGTGATCTTCCAGCCACAAGATTTATAGGACCATGTGTAAGAAAACAGTTGATTTTGTCAACAAATCTGTTAATCCTTTAGAAACTGCTGCATTTTTTTGTCCTGGGGTCTAAATAACAATTCTCCTCATTTGCAATATACTCATCCAAAGAGAAAGTAGGCTACAGGCACATGGGCGCATTTGCCTGCGTGGGGTAAAGATACTGCATATTCCTGGTGTGCTGGATGTTCTAAAGCCACCCATAGACATGAATGGGCGAAGGCACCCATATGCCGCTATTTGCGTAAAGTAGGGTACCTCAGGTACACATGCTACTTTTATTCAAGTGCACATGTGCTACTTTTATTCAAATAACTGCACACAGCCACCTTCACTCATTCAGGTCTAAGGGAGGTTGGAGTGCTATGGACATCTGGCACACCAGAAACATGCAGTGTCTTTAGAGTGCATAGGCAAACATGCCCATGTAGCCTAACTTCTAGAAACAAGATCTAGCCATTATTGATAATCAAGAACCAGACTGAACAGCATATGCAACACAGATACTCATTCTAGAAAGCACTTTTGTAGTAGTAAAACAAAACACATGCATGTAACTTAGCTAAAAATAAAATAGTAAAATAGTCTTGATACAGTCGAGAGTATAAGGCAAACTGAGGGTCAATGTAAGAATCTTTAATTTCAATACTACTACAGCTTCAAAACCAATGTTTGACATTTCCAGCCTGTGAGCTACATACCATGAATAAGTTGTTTCCCAAATCAATGCCAATTACGGTTCCAACCTCTTCCCTCTTGTCATCATCATCAGCAAAAGTACTGGCAATAACCAGCAACAGAATGCTTAATAGCTTCATTACTACCGTGAGATGTTTCCCTTTTTTCACGACCACAAGAAAAAGATAAAATTTCTATGTAAGACGGCAACACCCTGCTGAAAGAAGAAAAAAAAAGTCTTGAACCACATGCTTGTTTATCACAATATAATTTCATATACAAATGCTTAAGAGACATTATTCAAGTGAATGGATTGTAAATCTGTAAGGAACAAGGATTCCTGGATAACATTATGCAGAAAGCAAGAAGGGTGAGGTCACTTCTTATATCCCTCCCCTCCATCCAATGCTCCAATAAAGACACAAGCTGGTGAATCATGGGGAAAGGAAGGAGAAGCTTCTAGAGAAAGTAAGGTAACCATGGGTATTTTTTTTCTTCAGGCTACAATGTAATGGCAGTGACTATGTGTAAGCAGTGGGTCCCTACAGCCACAATACCTAACTGGATACTACCAATACCAATTTATTATGGATAAACTAAATCAGAAATCTTCAACAGTATAAAGCAGCAATAAAGTGCAGTATATGAGCAACTAGAGATCACCTAATTTGGGGATTTGCATGTACTGCCTTTCATGTATAAAAAGGCTAATATGCAAACATCAGTAACAGAAACTTCATGCCATTGGGCACAATAAATATTAAAGTACAATATAAAATGAAAGAAATGGCATTCTGCAAAACCTAAATATCTTGAGTCAGAAAACAATGCAAGCATGATGCAGCAATAAATGTTGCTCTCAGCAACACCACTACCTCTCCCAGATCTTACAAATTAGACAAATTATTAAATGCTAAATATACAATGAATATAGCTCCTGTGCATGACCCATTATCCACCCTTCATCTACTACAGCAGGAAAAAAAACCCAAACACACACACACACACACACACACACACACACACACACACAACAAAAATAAAAGCTATGACTATTTAGCCATTATGCTTCACCGTGAAGAGTGCATTAACAGAAATACTGCTGCTTTTCAGCTGACCAATTGCTATACAACCTGCCTACACAATCTCCCTCAAAAGTAACAAAATCTAATATGAGGACAAAACTAAAACCAATATTTGTATGCATTCACAGGTCCTTACAGTAAAGTGCCCATACACTGCACAATCTCCTTCAAATTCATCAAAATTATATAATATGAGAACAAATGTAAACAATCCATTCCAATTGTACCCAATAAAGCATGTGTCAACCAGATTGCATAGTGTATTATTATTAGCTTTACATAGTTGTGGTTAGACCTAATGATGACATACAATCAACTTTAGATTTACGAGAACTGTGTAAAAGGAGGACACAATGTATCCAGTTAGACAGGCCCTAATTTAGATATGTTATTGGTAAAATTAAAGAAGATTCTACAATCAGATAAATGTGTGGGGAGTTTAAGATCAACTTTCTATGTTGTTCGAGCGTCTGACACTAAGTGAATAGATTGGCCTCATTACATAATTTTGTTACATCATAAACTGGCCATACAATATACATCTCTCTACAATCCTCTTTAGATTTGCCAAACTATATAAGGACTAACCTAACAAATGCATTTAATTGGTATTAAATCAGACAGACCCCTGGAGTACATAGCTGAGGGCAGATCTACAGAAAATTGTATCCTGTATGGACACCTTAAAGCAGGCTGTACAATCGGATAAAAAGGTATGCGGCCCGCATCAGCTAGAGTCACTGACCCACTTCCCTAGACATAACGAGCTACACCAGGCCTCACCGCCGCCCAAACGGGAAAGCAGGTACACGTTAGAATATGGCAACCTGTAAGTAGAAAGGTTTCTTTTTTTTTCCCCTGCCCCCACCCCTTCCATCTGCAACTTCCCACATACCGGTATTAGAATCAGCCTTGCTAATCGCTTCCCCCGAATTCTTTATATTTGCCGGTAGGTGCCAGACTGACGTACCACGCGCCGCCGGTCTAGTTTTATACCCTCCCTGCCGGCCAGAGTCGTGGAGGGATGTGATTGGTTACAGCACCACGCGTTGGATTGCTTCGATTGGAGAGTAAGCTCTCAAGCTGTCGGCTTCGGATTCGCACACGTTTTCGTGACGTCACGCGTCGCGCTAGGTATCCTTTCGCCTCTAGTAATAAGTCCGCCTTCCTATCACGCATTTGACCAATGGAAAGGCTGTCCGTGGCACCGCAAGCCATGTTGATTGGATAGTTGGTCCATCTGTTAGGATTGTATGAATTTCTGGAAGATTCAGCTTCACGTAAATTTCGTCAGAATGTCGTCAGATTGCTGCTGGCATCTATATGTAATTTGGGTGTGATTGTCAAAATGCCGGGTGTGAGTGTACAATCCACCCTGATTACTAGGCTTGAAGAGGCTTTGAATTGCAAGAGATTTACTAACAGGAAGGAATGCATGACAAATGCACATCCATTTAACCGTCTGCTAAAAAGTATAAAATAACATCAATATGTAAATAGAATAAAACACCAGCAATAGTATATATAGAAACAATAATTATATACATAGAATAAAATAATCATTTTATACATATAAAAAAATACAAAGAACAGAATATAAATTATGTGCATTCATAGAATAAAATAATAATAATTATACATATAGAACATAAAATGATGCTATTTAGAAAGCTTGCTATAAATAACTAACCACTTCATGTCTGGACATTTTCACCCCTTCCTGTCCAGGCCAGTTTTCGGCTTTCAGCGCTGTCGCACTCTGAATGACAATTACGTGGTCATGCCATACTGTACCCATATGAATTTTTGAAGGGTGGAGGGGCTAGTCAGGATTATCAGGTAGGAAAATGGGTTACTGTAGAGAGAGGGAGTGGTAGGGGCTCACAGAAAAGGCCCTTGGTTTGAGCACCCAAACAGATTTGCCAAGTTAGGTGAAGATGTGGGGGTGGAAAGCTCAGGGGTGGCAGCCGTGGATGTCACTTCTATCCCTAACAGCTGGGAGAGCAGACCATCTGGGAGGAGTGGTGAGGGTAGTGCAGGAAGGCCTAGACAGTTGGTGGTAATAGGGGGTTCTATATTCAGAAGGACTGATAGAATAATTTGTCACCAGGATCGCCTCAACCGAATGGTCTTCCTGGTGCCAGGGTTCGGCATGTGGTGGATAACTTGCTTGATAAATTATGTTGGAACCAATGACAGAATACATGGAAGGTGGAGGCTCCTTAGGAATCAATTTAAAGAACTAGGCTGCAAGTTGAAGAACCTCCAAGGTGATATTCTCTGAAATATTACCTGTGCTATACGCATCTCAGGAAAGACTGGGAAAGATTAGAGAACTACATTCATGGCTAAAGACCTGGTGTGAGAGGGAAGGATTTGGGTTTCTAGAGCACTAGGCTGACTTTTCATTGGGGTGCAACCTATATGCTAGAGATGGTTTGCACCTAAATGGAATGGGGTCTGCTGTGCTGGGGGAGAGCTTTATGGGATGGCTGGAGGAGTATTTAAACTAGGATCAAGGGGGGAAGGAGAATTAGATTATAATGGGGCCAACAGATCAGACAGAGGTCAGTCCTTATTGATGGGTGGAATGGGGAAAGATGGGGGAGGGGGAGGGCTATGGCAGATGATAAGAAGATGCCCATATTACCAACAACCATTGGAATTGGTACAATTTGTATGAAAATAAAAAATATGCAAAATACATGGGGACAAGGTGTCAATGAATTAAAGTGTTTGTTCACCAATGTCAGAAGTCTGCCAAGCAAAATAGGTGAGTTGGAAGCTTTGGTGCATAAAGAGAACTATGATTTAATTGGTATTGCTGAATCTTGGCTTCATTCTTCACATGACTGGGCCATTAATATTCCTGGCTAAGTTCTCTTTTGGAGAGACAGAGTAAAAAGGAAAGGTGGTGGTGTCTGTCTCATAGTGAGACGTGATCTCAGAGTGAGTGTGAAAGAGAACCTAGTTGATGGAGAGCGTGATGAGACTAAAACATTATGGGTGGAACCGCACATGGGGGTGCGTACTACAAAAGGTAATCATTGTGTTTGTTATAGGCCACCCAGTGTTAATGAGGAGTTGGGGACTTAGCTCCTTGCACAGATCGAAAGGGCTGGGACAGTGATAATAATGGGGGATTTTAATTACCCTGAAATTGACTAGAGTAATAGCACTGCAAGAACAGTTAGAAGGGCAAAAATGTATAACCCTACTACAGGACAATTTTATGGTACAGTTCAGAGAAGCTCCAACTAGGAATCATGCTCTGCTGGACCTGGTAATCTCAAATATGCAGAGCTTATTACTAGTGTCCATATAGAAGAACATCTGGGTAGCAGTGACCACAACATGATTTAATTTATTGTTAGTTGCAAAACAACAAGCACATACGGGGAAAATAAAAACGCTCAACTTTACCCCAATAATACTGCACAAAATACCAACAACTAATATACTGTATGTTGAAGATGTGAAAATACAGAAGACAGCAGCTTAGACTATTTGGTGGAACTGCTCACTCATCAACCCATGAAGAAAATTATGTCAGATCACAGCAGTCTAATACTTCCTCTAACATCCACGCCCACTCGCTTGACGTGCTGCCACAGATCACTTAAGCTTCAGTGGATTGTTGCAACAGTAATGTGCACACCAAAGGGTTGGTTCATGAAAATAGAGAAAATGTGTGAAATGGAAGAATTAATACACGTTGAAACGGTTACTTGATATATGCAAACATGGGTTTGTTGGCTGAAATTTAAAAGCTCACCAGATTCCAAAAACATCCTCTTTGTCTCCCAGTGAAAAATACATACCTTTCGTGTACTCCTTTCACTAGATTGGAAACAGCAGTCACGCCAAATCCTCTCCTTTCACCCATTCAACTCACTACACCTTTCCTCAACTCAACTCCCATTCCCTTATCTCTAACTCCATTTTTTAATTATCTTGGATGACTTATTTCCTGCTGCTCTTTTTCTTAACTCTGTGAAAGCCCTTTATTTGACATTTTGTGACACATTTTTGGCCTGAAGATGACTTGAAACCCCCAAAACATTACATTTAGTTTGCTAATATTCTTTGTTTCACAAAAATAGCCTTTTTTAAAGGCCAAGTTCACCTGTTGAGGGAGAGCTCTGTTGATACTGGCTGCTAAGAGATCTATTGTTGCTGGGGGAGAGCGGATGTTTTTTATTGTGGGGGGGGGGGGGGGGGGGTCTTTTGTTAAGGTTGATTTCATATATTAGTCCCTAGAATTTTGAGGGTTTTGTAGTTTTTTTTTTGTAATTAACATTTTTATTTAATTTTTTCACATATACATGCAAGCATGAAACTTGAAGGAGAACTAAAAAGAAAAACGAGAAATAGGCTCATCGATGATAAGAACACAAAATCATACAATATCATCACAGCAACAGTGAAATGCCGATCAGATGCTAACAGTTTGAGCAGACTAATCAGAGTTATAGTTGTCCCATGGGTTCCAAACTACTTCAAAACGCAGCCAGAGTTGGCATTCAGAGCCATTAGATATTCCATCTTTCTGATATCCGCTATTATCTTCAATAATGCCGGCAATGAGGGGGATGTGGGCGAGAGCCAATACATGGGAATGATTCTCCTGGCCACCGTTAAAACATGTATGGAAAGTTTCCGTGCTGGTTTGGAAAGGCCCAGAAAAGGTAGGCCCAATAAAAAGTAGAGAGGCTCAAATGGAAAGGGAGCTCGCACTAGCAACCGTATCAAAGAATTTTCCTCTTCCCAAAAGGGAGTAATGGACCTGCATTCCCAAATAATATGAAAAAGGGAGCCAGTTTCCTTCCCACATTGCCAGCAGACAAGAGAAGCATTCGAGTTATGGGTATGAAGGACATCAGGGGTTCTATACCAAAACATCATGATTTTATACGTGTTTTCTTTATAAACTACACACGCAGAAGATCTATATGCAGTTTCCCATATTTTTTCCAATGATCTAAACCAGGGTCACAATGGAGGCCTTGGGGCCATTTACGCATGTAATGATGAGTGTCAGTGGAAAGGGGGCAGGCATCCATAAGGAGCTTATATGTAGCGGATATTATGCCCTGTTGGTATGAGCCCTGGATACATACACGCTCAATGGGGGTGGGCTTCTCAAGAGTCAGAGAGGGTCTATTAGATGAACTAAAAATGGCGTATCTGTAAATAAACAAAGAATTGTTGGGGTAGCAGATGGGCTGTTTTTTGAACGTCCAAGAAGGGTTTGAGCTTCCGAGTCACAGGGTGGACTAAATGGCATAACTGGAAGAGGTCGGCTACAGCTCGGGCGCATTCGAGTCATGGCCAGACTGTCCGGTAGGTTGGGATTAAAAATAACATTTATCAGTGGAGAGCACTAGGAAGCCAAAGCAAATCTGACCCTACAGCTCCTCCTGATAGACAATGCAAATTGCATAGGTCCAAGTAGGGAGCGTTGGTAAGAGGAAATGTCTGCTTCAGTCAAAGACCAGAGAAAAGAGCAGGGATGAGTCAGACCTAATTGTAAAGATTCAATCTCGGTCCATTTATTAGGAGGGTGCCGAGTGGACCATGAGACTAGAGACCGAAGGTGAGTGGCGAAGTAATACGTCACAATGTCTGGGGCCCCCAGGCCTCCCCTAGAACGAGAAGAGAGGAGAACAGTGCGGGCAATCCTGTGCTGTTTATTATGCCAAATAAAACATAGAAAGGACTTCTGGAGAGAGCGCAGGGTTTTTTTTAGTTTTATGCACAGATGGCTTACACCCATATGTCCTAAAAGAATTGAGCTCTGTCATTTCAAAGCCACGGTTTCTAATTTTTTGGACTAATTCCTTGGCCGGCGGTTTTTGGCTGCTCGGCGGGTGGGCCCTGTGTAAACCACTTACTGTGCTGAGAGCGCACTCCCTGCATGCTCCCAGCACAGTAGCCAACGGTGATCGGTAGGCTCCTGATGCATACTTGCCAATCATCTGACAGCCAATAACAGCAATCACGTGACCCGAATGCCCGCCTCCTCCTCCCCCGGCATCTAGAAGCTCTTAAAAGGTCTCTAAAAGGGTGTCGAAAGGATTAATGACTAGTATAGTACCACTGGATTAGTGTAATGCCTATATTTAAAAGGGATCAAGGTCTTTACCAAGACAAAAGTTCTGGGATTAAAAGTACCATTTTAATCTTTGCAAATGACACCAAGCTATGCAGTGGAATAATTTTTTTGCAGGATATCTCCAACTTACAAACTGACCTCAATGCACTGTTTAATTGGGCAATTATGAGGTAAATGAGGTTTAATGTTGATAAATGTAAAGTTATGCACTTGGGGGCTAAGAATATGCATGCATCATACATACTAGGGGGAGTACAACTGTGGGAATCAATGGTGGAGAAGGATCTGGGGGTATAGAATGCAATGCCAAACTGTGGTTTCTAAAGCAAGTAAAATCCTTTCTTGTATTAAGAGAGGTATAAACTCCAGAGAGATAGATATCCATTTTAATCCTGTACAAATCATTATTAATACCTCATCTGGAATATGAAGTTCAGTTTTGGCTACCAGTTCACAAAAAGGATATCAGAGAACTGGAGATAGTGCAGAGTAAAGCAACCAAACTGATAAGAGGCACGGAGGAGCTCAGCTATGAAGAAAGATTAGAGAAACTGAATTTATTCTCTCTTGAGAAGAGGAGAATAAGGGAGGATATGACCAATATGTATAAACACATAACTGATCCATACAGTGAAATTGGTGTAGAGTTATTCACTTTAAGGTCATCACAGAGGACAAAGTGGAAACTTTGTATGTCTGGAGGAAAAGAGATTTAATCTCCAAACATGGAAAAGCTTCTTCACAGTAAGAGCTGTGAAAATGTGGAGTAGACTCCCTCAAGAGTTGGTTCTGGCCAGCTCAGTAGATTGTCTTTAACCACTAGCCTACAGGGCACTTATACCCCCTTCCTGCCCAGGCCAGTTTTCAGCACGGTCACACTTTGAATGACAATTGCGCGGTCATGTAACACTGTACCCATATGGAATTTTTATAATTTTTTTTGAGACAGATTTCTTTTGATGGTATTTAATCACCTCTGGGTTTTTTATTTTTTGCTAAACAAACCAAAAACAACTGAAAATTTTGAAAAAAAAAAAAGTTTTTTCTTAGGTTTTGTTATACAATTTTGTAAATAAGTATTTTTTTCTCCTTCACTGATGTGCACTAATGAGGCTGCAGTGATGGGCACTGATAGGCTGCATTGATGGGCACTGATAGGTGGCACTGATGGGCACTGATGAGGAGGCACTAGTAGGTGCCACTGATGAACATTGACAGGCATCACTAATGGGCACTGAAAGGCAGCACTCATATAGGCACTGACTGGCACGGTTAGGTGGCACTGACTGGCACTGTTAGGTGGCACTGATGGGCACTGATAGGCGGCACTGACTGGCACTGATAGGCGGCATTGACTGGCATTGATAGGTGACACTCACTGGCACTGATAGTTGACACTGAAAGGCAGCTCAGATGGGCACTGATATGTGGCATTGATGTGCACTGGTAGGCACTGGCAGGTGGCATTGATGAGCACTGACAGCTGGCATTGTTGGGCACTGACAGGTGGCACTTCTGGGGCCACACTGATCATCAGGGCACACTGATCATCAGTGCCCTGATGATCAGTGCCCATGTCCCCTCCAAGGAATGCCGATTACCGGCTCTCCTCTCCTCTCGAGCTGTCAGCGTGACAGCTCATGAGGATAGAAATGCCAATAACTGACATTTCCCTATTTACATGCGATCAGCTGTGATTGGACACAGCTGTTCACATGACCGAGCTGACATCTTCGGCTCTTTCCGTTGATCGGTGATGCGCTGTGTCCGAGGGACACAGCTCACCGCCGATCGCCGTGATGCGTGCTCCCAGAGCCGCGCATGCGCGGTTAGAGTGGGAGGACGTCATATGATGTCCTCCCAGAACGAGAGAACTGCCTTGCACTCGTTATTACCTTTTATGGCGGGCTGGAGGCGGTTAAAAAGAAAAAAGCCTGGATTCTTTCATAGATGCAGTAAATAAAACTGGACGCTATTAGTTATAGGTAAAGTTGATTCAGGGAAAATCTGATTGCCTCTTTGGGAATTGTTAAGGATTTTTTCCTCCTCACTGGACAAATTGGATCACGCTTTACTGGGGTTTTTTGGCCTTCCTCTGGATCAATTGAGGGTATAGGATTGTGTATATGGAGGTTTTCTAACAGTATACTGCAGGGGTCCTCAAACTTTTTAAACAGGGGGCCAGTTCACTGTCCCTCAGACCGTTGGAGGGCCGGATTATAATTTAAAAAAAAAAATTATGAACAAATGCGGACACAGTACAGGAGATGACCAGTGACTGCAGACATAGTACATGAGATGACCAGAGACATACAATGGCGGCGGGAATACTGGGCCGACCGCTCCATAAGACGCGCAGACATTTCCCCCCAAGTGTGTCTTATGGAGCGAAATATACGGTAAATGTAGGACACCTTGTTGGGTCAGATCTGTGTACAATGTAAAGAGAGGGGGGGGGGTAAGGAGGGGGGAGAGAGAGGAAGGGGGAGAGAGGAGTGGGAGAGAGAGAGAGGAGGGGAAGAGAGGAGGGAGAGAGAGAGGAGGGGGGAAGGGGGGGAGAGAGAGGAGGGGGGGAGAGAGAGAGGAGGGGGGAGAGAGAGGAAGGGGGAAGAGAGAGGAGGGGGGAAAGAGAGAGGGAGGAGATCAATCATCTATTGCATTTATCTAGGGTCCGTGACCGTGATACCCGACATGCAGCGAAGGAGTCTTCTCTCTTGCTCCCCCTCTTCATGGTCAGCTCTAGGCTCCGCTCATGACGGTTGCATGCACTGATCAGAATAGATGGCCGGCTGGCTGCAGAGAGGCCAGGTGAGTGGTGCGGGTTCATAAGCCAAGCCCACCTTCCCCTGTTCTAGAATTGCTGATCCCGCCCTCCTGCCTCCCGCCCGAGCCCTGCCGAGCTTTCCTGACCTGCCAAACCCTAGTCCCTTGCCTCGCGGCAGATACGCCCCTGCTGGATAAATGTCCTCGGGGGGCCGCATGTGGCCCGCGGGCTGTAGTTTGAGGACCCCTGGTATACTGTTTGTTGTATGCTTACTATGATAGGTACAGCTCACATCATAAGGTTTAGCTGGCAAAGCTACTGATACAGAGCTACCATGGTAGAAAGTAAAATACAGCTTATCATATGTAGCACTGCCCCTTGGGACAAGCTGGAATATATTATGGGTCCTGCGCTCAATAGATCCAACCCTAAGCAAACCCAATCCCTCTGGCACAACTGGTAATGAATAGCAAATACCCCGCCAAGAAATTTGCTGACACAGGGTTAAATGAAACAAGAACAATTTTATGGAGAATGAAATGCAGTGTAGAGGGGTGGGGTTCCCCTTTCAACTTCAAAAGTTACTTTTCTGCTTTTATGCAATGCAGTAAATTTGGTCTGCCACTAGAGGGCTTCACAGCCAAGAGTCTCCAGATGGCAGGAGTTGCACTTTAAGCAGAATACAACTGATATCAAACAAATAAACTTACTTATACTCTATCAATGAAATGTATTACCCACAGCGGTGTATGATTCTGCTTCTGAGGGGCGTTAGCCAAAAATCACCTCAGAGTCAGAACAGAATGCAATAAAGAGGTACCTCTAATAAGGCTACTAAGCCAGATTCCCCCACTCTAGTCCTTGTAACGGTGGAGCTCTAGTTGGTGCACGTTTAGTCCTTACAATGAAGTAAATAGCAGCTGAAGGCTTCTTTGGAGTTTCAGCTGGTGTGGGTTACATCCGATTTCACTAGGTTTCTGGGCTGAGAGAGTCCAACCTCAGTGTCTAAACGCAACACAAAGCACCCCAAGACCAGGGGCAGTCGCAGGATGCAATCTCCCAGTATATGTCAGTCCCCAGGGCAGACAGTCTCAATTACACTGGTGGTGAGGGGCAAAGCAGGCAGAGGGATCTGTGGCTTGCACAGGGCCCCGGATGGGTGAGATCCCAGCAGTGGGGTGCGGATGTCCCAGTCTATATGCAAAGTGTAAATGGTGTGTCTTACTCTCTCCAGTGGGACAGCTCACCAGACTCTGAACACACAGCAGGGTCCCTCTATCCGCGCTGAGTGCTGTAGTGCCTCCTCCTCTGCTTGGACGGGCTCCACGTGTCCGGGCTCCACGTGTCCCTGTCTTTTCTCCAGCCTCGTGTCTCTCTGTTCTCCCCTTCACTTCCTGCTTCCCTCCCTTTCCCAGCGTTCTTTGCTGTGTAGTGGATGAGTCATGAACTTGGCAGAATGCCCAGGTTTTACAAATAGGGGAGAGAGAGGAAGGACTGACTGCTGAACATGTGATTCCTTCTGAATCCTCTTGTACAAGGAGCCTGCTACACACCCCCCCCACCAGAGAAACTTTGGTCCTCCAAAGACAGCAGTAAAAGCAACCTGTTACATGCTTTTTATATACAAGTGGAGAAAAAGCAAAGTTAGTACACACAGGAAATTAAATTATTCACACTTGCATAAGAATCCGGCAGAGGAACCTCCCACCATGTAGCAGAGTGACGGTTGTCCTGCCCATAGGCCACACTAATGGGAATGGCCCAACCAGATGTGCCAGGGGGGGGTGAGTTGGGGCTGTTCTCTACCGAGACTGCTGTAGGAGAACCAGGCGTCACGAGCCACCTTAGGAGTTGATTCTTCGCTCTCTCCATTCCAGGGAAAAGGGGGTGTTCCTTGGGTAAAACGCATCGACAGGGATTTCTTTCTCTCTTCCATCCCCTAGCTCAGTGGGCAAGATTGGGGTTGCAGGATCCACATGTCCTAACAGCACCCGAGCTGGGATTTTCACTGGGGCAGCAGTTGGATTATGAACACTGACCGAAACCTTTCCGTGGCTCCTCCGTAGCGCTTTTGTTGACACTACCTCCGGGAGGATCTCCACTCCTGTGTTCTCTTCACAGCCACCAGCCTCAAGGACAATGAAGGGGCCTGGCTGCTTCCAGGTCAATTTGACTGATGCCTGTAAACACGTGACCTCTCCGGGTTGTAGCACCTTCTCATGTTGATCCAGGCGCCATATCTTCCCTATTCTTTCCGCTGGGGCTCTCCTCTCTTGTACCAGGCGCTGATATGCTTGCCACAGCATGGGATGTTACAGAAGTGGGTTGATCATTGGGCTCTTCGACCAATGGCGCCAGCAGCCTTCTGACAAGATTGGTGTTGGTCCCTATGATTAGGGGACTCCCATTGGCCCCAGGCGGCCGGGGACAGATGATGGCTAAGGCTTCGAAAGTCTCAGCTTTCCCTGTCATGGAAGGATCAAAAGTTAGTCTGACCGATAGGTAACCATCATAGGGAAACTTCTGGGTTCCTATTCCCCATATTTCCAGATCTTCCAGCTTCTGCAAGGGCAAATGCTTCAGATGCTTGTCATAGAAGTCTCGGTACAGAAGGGTTACTTGGGCTCCGGTGTCCAGAAGAGCCCTGGTATAAATCCCTTCTACCTGAATCGGGACGACAGGGGAGGGTCCCACTAAATTCTCAGGGAGTGGTGAACAGGTAGTCGTCTTCTTCTGTTCTGCAGTTCTTATCCTTACTCTCCTCCTGGGGGAGTTTTGGCTCGGCCTAAGCCGTGGTTGACTCCCAGGGTTGAGGTGTGCACTGACTCCCTGAGGTGAAGTGGCATTTTCCCTAGGCTGTTTGTAAGGGATGGTGGGGTCCTTCTGGATAGGGACAGATTTTCTCCTCACCCCCCTTTTACTTGGTTGAGTGGAGCTAGCTGCGGTGGTGGGGGGTCCCTGGGTTGCTCCTTCACCAGGGCCCTCTGAAGTTTTCCGCCGGTTTTTGGCGCTTAGCTTCAGGCTTCCTGGGGCTTGGACAGACTCTCCTGACATGTCCAGTCCCTCCACAATTAAAGCAGGTCATTTGAATGGTGGGACTAGTTGCTTGCGTTGGGGCAACTCCTGACAGGTTTTCAGAAACTGCTCTCGTCTCTCTCGCTAAACCCGACGGTCCCGCCATTAGTAAGGTCACCATCTCCATTAGTTGGGACACCTGAGTCTTAAGGAGTTCAACTTCAGGGGTGTCACCTCCCACATTGACTACCCGGACCCCTACAACAGAGTCTGACTGTCTCTCTTTGTCATCCAACATGGCTTCCTCCTCTCTCACAGTCCGGATCAAGTCTGGATAGTTCAGGAGGCCACCATCTCGCCGAGTTCATAATAGAATGGCAATGGGGTCTAGGGGCCTGGCTCCTCGTAGGACTTGTTGCGCCCGAACCTCATCTACTCTTTCAGGGCCTATTCCCCTTTTTAGCAGAATTTGGTATATTATCTTGTCTAGACGTCCCATGTAACTGGAGAGTTTCTCCCCTTCATTTTGGTAGGTATGCTCTAGCTGATAGATGAGGTCTGAAGCCTTTTCAGTACGCCCAAATACATCTTGTAAAATATCTAGATAGCCCTGAGCAGTGCAATCCTGTTTGCTAAGTTTTAGGTTGTGAATGGCCTCCAATGCAGGGCCCCTTAGGCTCTCCGTAATCCTCTGTTTCTTGTGGGCCTCAGGAATGTCCCATTCACTTAGTGCTTGCATGGCTTGGTCTAGCCACTCTTCAAAGCCATCCTCCCCGGTAGGTATTGGTTGCCTACCCGAGAAGAATCGGAGCTTCCGATACATCCCTGTGTATGGAGAGGGGTCTTTGTGGCATTTTAACATGAAGTCCCCCAATGCAGTGAGGAATTTCGGGCCTATGGTGGCTAGAGGTGTCTGGGACAGGGGTTCTTCCCTCTCAGGTTTTTGCACAACTAGGCCCG